TCAGTACCACATATAGAGAGAGTTCACAGAATGGTGTAGTTTTTACTTGCAGGATTCAGTAATGCCAGATACTTCTCAGAAGCTTTGCAGCTGAGATTGTCCAAGGTCTCTGTAAAGATGACTCTTCTTCTATTCTGTAATTGAAGAGCCAGAGGCAAAGGATAGTGAATTAGCTAAGCCATCACTAGAGCACCCCTGATGGCCCAGGTCTCAAATGAATGGTTGATGGTTGTTTCCTATCATAAATAAGTACATGCTTAGCACACTCTCAGAGTCAAAGGACCAGTGGTAACCCAGAGAAACTGTTATTAACTTTCTGTGGCCAGTGAGAGAAAATAGAAAAGTTTAGTTGCAAAGTAAATTTCTGTCAGGATGGTATTGTTGAAAAGTAACAGAAACTTGAACCAGCAGATTGAGTTTTGCTCCTAGTTTAGTAAGAATGTAACCTTGGGCATACAGTGTTCCCCTCAATTTAAGAGGAAGGGTCTGCACTAGACCACCAGAGATGCTCTTCTCAGCTTTGAGAGCTCACGTTTTTGCTTTGGATCTGTGTATCTCAGTAACTGAGATATACAAGAAAGGATGGCTTGACACTCAGGGAACAGTTAAATGGCATTAGATCTGGGTTCCTCACACCTAACGTGCAAAAAAAGAATCAACTGAGGTTCTCGTTAAAACCAGGGTCTGGGCTCGGCGCCTATAGCTCAACCGGCTAAGGCGCCAGCCACGTACACCTAAGGTGGCGGGTTCGAATCCCCAGCACGGACCCACCAAACAACAATGATGGCTGCAACCAAAAAATAGCTGGGCGTTGTGGCGGGCGCCTGTGGTCCCAGCTACTTGGGAGGCTGAGGCAGGAGACTCGCTTGAGCCCAGGAGCTGGAGGTTGCTGTGAGCTGTAATGCCACAGCACTCTACCCAGGGGGACAGCTTGAGGCTTTGTCTCAAAAAAAAAAAAAAAAAAAAAAAAAAAAAACCAGGGTCTGGTTCAGCAGACTTTCTTTCATCCTGAGAGGTCGCATTTCTAACAAACTCCTGGTAGATGCCAGCGCTGATGCTCCCCAGTTATGCTCTGTACACCGGGAGTAGAAAGGGTTTAGAGCATCAATATATGTTTCCAGTAAAATTAATGCAGAGGAGAAAATTGATGAAGAGGAATAGAAGTAAGGGGGAGAAGTATGTCTCTATTGATAAAAATAAATGATATTTACAAATTAAGTAAGAGTTGAGATCTATAGAAAAAATATAAAACTATACTTTGATAAAAGTATACAAAAACATATATAGGATTGAGTTGTAAGAATTATGAATGTCTTTAGAGCAGCTTGTTGGAATAGCTTACTAGGAGACCACAGCTGGTTGGTACTACTCTTTTCAACAAACATGAGGTAATTTTTTTTTTATTATTAAGTCATTTGTACATAGATCACGAATACATTTATGCCATTATGGGATTCAATGTGTTGATTATTTGTACAAAGTGGCGTGCTTACATCCTGCTACGTTTTGAAGGCTCCCAATGCTTGACAGACAAAAGCACTGGGTGTTGAAGGATGTATTTCCAAAGCGGCCCAGAGCCCAGAGCTGTCCTGCCATCTAGAGATATATTGGAATTTCCACAAGGACCTCTAAATCCTGTCCAGGACTATTTCTATGGATGGCACAATCCTCAAACTAAGTCACTTGCTCTATGAATGGCAACCTTGATTTTGCTACTTTTTCTCTTTTTATGTTAATGAATCATTATACCTTTGCAATGAAAAGCAAATTATTTTCCTGTGAATAAAAGCCACAGTGTTTCTGAAGCTCTTTGTGTAGGCTTTCTTCATTTATCTTTCACTGTAATTTCAGTAATGAGCATAGAAGGATCTGCAGGAAAAAAAATATGTGTAGAAATACCAACATCAGATCCAGCAATGACTCATTTCACAAGGCGTCTTTTAGTTCCCCTGTTCTCGTTCCCTGGGTCATCGATGAACAACGTTACAAGCCTTGCTTCTATGTTCCCTCTTGCATGGGTTATAGTAACAATAATTAGAGCTGAAAATAAATGCGTACCCTAGAATGAATGGTCTGCCCTTTGTTCAGCAGACAGAAGGATGATTCAAGATTCTGTTTTTTCATCATCATTTTTATTCTGCACACACTCTTTGTTCTCTGCAATGTTTTATCGACCCCTGTCAGGTTAAAAAGAAGCAGATAAGACAGGCAGCCAGTGAGGACTTAGGAGGCCAGTCTTGGTGGGGGAGTCTCCCTCTCCCTAGCTCTGGAGCAGCACTGGGCTGTGAGCCTGGGCATTTCTTTCTCTCCTCTATAGGTTGATTGCACACGTGCATTATGTTATGTGTTGACCTATAAACTCACCTTCATCTCCCAAAATTTGAAAGAGCAATGGAAATCCTATTGGCCATTTTCAGGTATCTTGGTTAACTATTCTTTGAATTTCTACAGAAATATATTTGGTCCTTAAAAACCATTATTTTCCTAAGACATAGGAAGGTGATTGGGTGTTCTCAAACACAGCTAAACCTCTTAAGCACATGTATGTTTGTTACCCAACTTCTAGCAACAACAGTCAAAATAATGGTACTGATAGTAGCCACCATTTATTTAGATTTTACAATATCTAGTTGTGTAGTTACAAATATTACATCAATTAGTCTTCTTGGGGAACCCGTAAAGCAGACATTATCATTACCCTCCTTCAATTTTCTCAGTCTTCTTTTTCTTGTTATTATACCTTGTTTGTAGAGTAAATGAAAAAGCCTTGAGGAGATTATATAAATTCTCAGAAGTCAGAAGCTTATTGATTGCAGAGCCAAGAAACTCAGCTCTGGATTCCAAGCTCTCGCCTCCTCTATTTGGGCTTCCTTGGTTCAATCCTGATGTTGCTGTTCTGTTCAAAATCCTCTCTCACTGTGGGGACTACCATCCCACAAGCAGAGACCGCAATTGTCCTGGTCCCTGCAGTGACAAACAGTACTTAGCACAGTCCCCAACCCATAGGAAGGATTTACTATCTAACTTAGAGACAGAGAGGTTGAAGAGGGGCACACAAAGTGGGGAAAGAAAAGGAGGAACAGAGGAAAAGCGGAAACAAGAAAAAATTCTGCAGCCTCAAATGATGTTAAATTGTTACGTTTGACCTGAACATCCCAGTTCCCAGGAAGCCACAGGAAGGAGAGCAGAAAGAGGACAGGATGGTGACAATACTGGTGGAGAGTCAAAATCAACTCAGGAATCCCATAGACAAAACATCTTGCAATGAGAAGTTTCATGCAAAAGAACATTCTATGAGATACTTATTATACTCTGTCACCTTAATTAGGCAGGTATTTCAGGATGTTTTGTGCCTGATACTAAGTTTTACCTATAATGTTAAAACATTTGATTAATTGCTTTTAGAAACTGTAGACAAATGAATTTTTAATTTCAGTAGTTGCAATCCTTTGACAAATATAATTAGGATAATTAAATTTATTTTATATGACAAAATTATAATGTATTTATCATATCATCATCATTCTTAGAATTACTATTATAGTCAATACATTATTTTTCTTTTATTTCTTTTTTCTGTTTTTATCTTTCTTTTCCCTTCTTTCTCCTTTCTATCCTTCCTTCCTTTTTAATTTTTCTTATTCTTATTTTTTATTTCAGATTAATATGAGGGTACACGTGCTGAGGTTACATTGTTTTCATTTCTAAGGTAAAGTTCAAGTTGTATGTAGATCGAGCCCTTCAATGAGAGAACATGCTGAATTCCATCACTTTGCACATCAGGTGAGAGGCCGCCGATCACCCTCCCTCCTCCCTGTTCCCTTTTCCTTCCTCTCCCCTCCCCCTCCCTAGAATATACTTGTGTTTTTCTCTTGTGTGGGCATGTAGTTGTTTATATACTGGTTTCATACTAGTATTGAGTATATTGGATACTTGTTTTTTTCTTTCTTTTTTTTTAATTGAATGGTAACTATGTACATTAATGCACTTCTGGGGTACAGTGTGGGGATTTCACATGCAGTCTGAAATACTTCCATCAAACTGGTCAACACAGCCTTCATGTAATTTTCTCAGTTATTGTTTTAAAACGTTCACATTCTACTCTTAGAAAGATTCACTTGTACCCCTATAAGATAAACCTCAGAAGTGATCCCTCCAAACTCCCTCCCTTCTCTCTCCCCCCTCCCCATATTCTTAGGCTATTTGGTTATAGCTTTCATATAAAAGGTATAAATTAGTTTCATAATAGAGGTGTGTACATTGGATACTTTTTCCTCCATTCTTGTGATACTTTGCTCAAAAGAACATTCTCCAGCTCCATCCATGTGAACATGAAGGATGTAAAGTCCCATCTCAGGATGGGCAAGGAACTTGAAGAGAAATTTCTCCAAAGAAGACCAGCATACGGCCTACAGATATATGAAAAAATGCTCACCATCCTTAATCATCAGAGAAATGCAAATCAAAACTACTCTGAGATATCATCTAACTCCAGCGAGATTAGCCCATATCACAAAATCCCAAAACCAGAGATGTTGGCGTGGATGTGGAGAAAAGGGAACACTCCTACACTGCTGGTAGGAATGTAAACTAATGTGTTCCTTTTGGAAAGACATCTGGAGAACACTTAGAGAACTAAAAATAGACCTGCCATTTGACCCTGCAATCCCTTTGTTGGGTATATTCCCAGATGACCAAAAATTGCATTACAACAAAGATATTTGTATCAGAATATTTATTGCAGCCCAATTCATAATTGCCAGGTCATGGAAGAAGCCCAAGTGCCCATCGATCCACAAATGGATCAACAAACTGTGGTATATGTACACCATGGAATATTATGCAGCCATTAAGATGGATATTTGTTTTTCTAGTCTTATGATACTTTACGAAGAAGAATCTGTTTCAGCTCCATCCAGGCAAACACAAAAGATATAAGGTTTCCATCTTTTCTTATGGCTGAATAGTACTCCAGGGTATACATGTACCACAGTTTGTTAAAAAATATGGAACACTTCATGAACTTGTGTGTCATCCTTGCACCAGGGCTGTGCTAATCTCCTTGTATCGTTCCAGTTTAGTAGATGTGCTGCTGACATGAGCACCTTTCCTTCTTTTTTTTTTGAAAACACTTCTATGTGTCAATGTAAAAGATGCTGAAGAAACTACTTCTAAATATGGCATTGAACACTGCACTCGTATTTCATGGTTATAATTAATTTTCAGTTTCCTCTTCCTGTACCTCTAAGAATCTATCTAGGGAAAAAATATTTGGATTTACAGGTACCCCAAACAAAGGTCAGGGAGCCTGCCTCAAATGACCCTGAAGGTTGGAGAGGAGAAAGGAGATAAAAGATGAATACTTATGTATGAAACCCTTCCTTCAGAACATTAAAATTGAATTTTTTATGCTTATAAATTCACAAGAGAGGGGCATATCAGTTTAGCTTCTCCCATCTGGGAATGGGATTTCCAGCTGTGTTTTCATGACAAACTTTCATCACAGAGAACATTCCAGATGGCCTAAAGGTTTAGCTATAATGGTATTTGATCTATATCATTTTTTCATAATGTGCTCCAAATTGAATTTTTAATCCCTTTCTCCAAAAACCACTGGGATATACTCCACCCTCTCTGGCTCCTTTCTGAGCTGCTGTTTTGATATAGTTATGAAGAGAATTATTATTATCAAGTTATTGTTATCATGAATTTATCCCCTCTCTAGATTACTGCAACAAAATTAAAGTTACCAGTAAGCATGTAACTAAATAAAAAATGTAAAGCTCCCCCAAACCATATGCATTTAGACTAAGTCTGAGTTAATTTTTTTTTAAGTTATAAGCTACACATAATTGCAGCTTGAGATAATTTGATATTTTTTTTAAAAAAAAGAAAAACTAGAGTTAGGTGGTAAGTTTGAGTTTGGAAGACACCTAGTCCTGATAATTCACAATGAACAGAATAAGAGTTTGTATTTGCATTCAACTAAACCTTTCATTGTTCAATGGACATTTGTTGTTCTGGGTGCTGGAAATTCAGCAGTGAACACACAAAAAATAAGTTCTACCTGTGCAGAGTTCATATTAATATAATAATTAACATTGTATACATTGCATAAGAAGAATTTATAAAGATATATTAAATATATTTTTTTTGTGTGTACCTGTGTTGTGTATTATCAGTAAATAAATTTTTGCACTTGCATGCACACACTCACACAAATCTTGATCTAAAAATCTCCTTTGTGACTTCAGAGGAATTTTGAAGGCCAATTCTTAGTCAAAGTATGGTTTCCAAAACTAATTCCAGAAAGTAGTTTCTCTTCCTCCAATTTTTCAATTAGGCAAAAAGGCATTAGGTTTGGGGGCAAAGGAATAGAAAGGAGAATTTGATGACTTTGTACAAGTGAGTACATTTCAAGAAAACCAGCCTGGGGCCTTATTCATTTCTTATTGCTCCTACAAAAAACCACCACTAATATACTAGCTTAAAGCATGTGATCTTTATTTCTTATAGTTCTACAGTTTAGAAGTTGTAAAATCAAGGTGTCAGCAGAGCTGTGTTCCTCCCTGAAGCTCCATAGGAGAATCTCCTTATGTCTTTCCAGCTCCTAGAAGCTGCCGAACTTCCCTGGCTTGTGGCCTCTTATTTACATCACACCAACCTCCCTCCATGGTCAAGTTTTTCTCTGACTCTCATCTTCCTACCTCCTTCTTTTAAGAACCCTTGTGATTATGATGTTGCCACCCAATAATCCAAGATAATCTTATCTCAAGGTCATTATCTTAATTACATATGCAAAGACTCTTTTAACATGTAAGGTAACATATTCACAGGTTCTGGGGATTGGAACCTGGATGTTTCTGGAGACACATTATGCAGCCTAGCACAGAGACTGATGTGTGGAAGGAAATATTCAGACTCTGATTTGCATATTTGCCTGTTTATATAATGTGAGTTTGTAGGTACAGTGTCACCTCAGAAGTTTTAGGCTCCCTAGCAATTACAGAAACCTTCAGATCACCCTTTGCTTGCACTACTGGAGCTGACTTTGCAATCAGGAAAGGACATGTTTGTTTCATTATGAGCAGGAAGGCTACTTCATTGATCAGTTGAAGACAACAGAGGCATGGAACTCTTTTACGTTTGCCATTAGGCATCATATCTCAATTCATTTAAAAAAATACATATATGCACAGTTTTCTTTAAAAAATCTTTTCTACATAGCCCTCCCTGGTGGAGCTCTCAAATGAAACTTTTTAGGTTGGTCAGATGTGGCCGTTTAAAGTCTATCAGAATTGACGGCAGTCCAGGAATTAGTGGTACTATCTCTTATGTCACATTAACTTGTTAGACAAGTTCAGGCACTTTCTCCGATTTTTCTGGATTCAATGCCTCCCTCCTCTGGTAGAATAAAACGTACGTAGAGTTACAAAGCGATAAAGTTAAACTGTTTATTTATTTATTTATTTATTTTGGTAAAGAATTTTAAGATTTTCATTGTGGATTTAATTATCTGAGTGACTCTTTGTCTTGACATATCTAAAATATGATTAAAAATTTCACCAAAGCTGATGCTATATGGTTTTTCCCCATCCAATCTAGATGTCATGTTCACTGACATTTGATTTTAAATACTCAGAATAATTTTCAGACTGAAAAATTGCTATTGAAAAACATAGGACAAGGTGATGTAGAACCATTTTTTTCTGTTCTACCCCAATGTTAAATATTTTTAACCATAACTAAATACAACTATAAACCTAACAAACAGCACATGAACACAATCTTAGTCCACTCTGGCTAATATGAGCCAATACCATAGACTGGGTAGCTTACTTAGAACAAGCATTTATCTTTCACAGTTCTGGAGGCTCCCAATATCAAGGGACTGGAAGTTTTGTGTCTGTTGGGGACCCATACCCAGGTTCCAGTCTTTTCTTTGTGAATTTATAGGGCAGAAGGTGCCAGAGAGCTCTCTGGGGCCTCTTCTGTAAGAGTACTAGTCCCATTCCCATTCATGAGGGCTCTCCCACTGAAAGAGCATCACCTCCTGATGCCATTATCTTGGGGATTTGATTTCAACACACACATTTTGAAAGTACACAAAAATTTAGACCACATAAAGGCAGCTAAGGAGATCAATGAAAGGTATTAAGACAGGGAAATAGTTAGGGACCCCACGACTGGCAGGGCAACATTTGGGCACAAGCATTTGACAAAGGGCACATTTGGTCCTCATCCAAAAGAGAAAGGGACCCAGGGTCAACATTTTCTGAGCCCCAAGCCAGCAGCAAAAGACTTATACTCTTTCCTCCCCTGCATATAACAAAACTGGAGCCCCACAGAAAACACCAAACTGAGCAGAGCTGACAGGGAAATCAATGTGGAGGCCCACAAACAGCAGGAGACCAAGGAAACATTCTTCTTCCTACTGGGCCTGAGACTCCCTACTCCACAGAAAGATACCGAAGCTGCCAATGACCCATACAAGAAAAGCCAAAAGTAGACTGGCTGAGAAGCCTCCTTGTTGCCAGGGCCTGGAGACTCCTGCCCCTAGTGCCATCAGAAAAGAGAAAGAGCATGGATATAAGACTCACCACAAGCAACTGGTCCCAGAATTGCTCTCCAGGTGGCCTGGCAGGGAGATCTTACTGCAGCAAGCTCTTGCCAAGGATAACCCTTGCAGCCCAGAGACATCCCACCTGCACCAGAGTAGCAGACAGAGCTGGGTAAAGGAGCCCAGACATGGAAGAACACACTGACCCAAGGTCTCTTGTAGGCAACGTCTTGTTAAAGCTTTTGTGTGAGCCTGGTACCCTCTTCCTCCACTTAGAGCACAGATACTGGCAGTGGAGTAGGGGCAGCAATAGGGAATCCAATCATAAATGAGTGTCTAGAGAAGGAACCTGGGAGTCCTTTCCTCTACCAAGAGACATGCAAGGGCCCCTCCTGAGTCCATTTCTATGTCCCTCCTCAGGTAGCAACAGCCAGAACCAGTCAGAGCCCCAAACTAACAATCAAACCAAAATAAGAGCACAAAAGCTCTGAAAATTGAACTGTCTGGGAACCTCAGGACACAACATAAACTAAAACCAATATGTTACATCTAAACAGGGCAACTACCTGCTAAAATGAAAGATTAAATATAGGAGCTAAAATGAAAGATTAAATATAAATATACAAAAGATTAAATATATTATAAGTGTTCTTATAATACAATAGGTAACATTTCCAAGATATGTCTAAAAGTCATCATAATAGGAGCCAGGAAAATCACAGCTTGAATGATAAAGGACAATTAATTGACATCCATCAACATTGAGATAAGTTAGATGTTAAAATTATCTAACCAGGATTTAAAAGAAACTATTAAATGTGATAAAAATTCTCAGCAATAAATTATAAATTATCCTGAAAAAAATGGGGGGGAAAATCACTAAAAATACAGAAATCATATTAAATAAAGAAGCCAAATAAAAATATAAGATGGGTGTGGTGGCTTAGGTCATAATCATAGCACTTTGGGAGGCCGAGGATGGATGATTGCCTGAGCTCAGGAGTTTGAGACCAGCCTGGGCAGGAGTAAGACTCCATTTCTATTACAAACAGAAAAATTATCCTGGCATGGTGATGCATGCCCGTAGTCTTAGCTACGCAGAAGACTGAAGCAGGAGGATGGCTTGAGGCCAAGAGTTTCAAGTTCCAGTGAGCTATGATGATACCTAATCATCTAATCAGGTTGACAAGATCGGGAGGAGAAAGGAGAAAGAAGGGAGAAGGGAGAAGGAGAAGGAGAGAAAGAGGAAGAGGAGGAAGAGGAAGAAGAAGAAGGAGGAGGAGGAAGGAGGAGGAGCTAAAGAAATACAATATTCACTAATTATGTAGGATCGACAGTGGAGTAGAGATGATAGATCAACTAGAGTAAAAAAAAAAGACAAATCAAGGTAATTCTCTCAATTTTAAAAACAGAGGGAAAATAGATGAAGAGATTAGATTATAAAGAAAGAGGAGGGGAAAGAAGAAGAGGAGGAAGAGGAAAACAGAGTATCAGGGACCTGTAGGAACATAACAGTCCCAAAAGAAAATGAGAATGTGGCTGAGA